GGTAAAATTTGACTTTTTTTAAAAAACGCCGTCATTTTGTCAATTTTTTATTTTATTTTATCGTAGTTCATTTTACAGACAATATTATCTAGTTTAATGAGAATTTTTTTTTTTAATTTCATCCACGTAGAAGGCCGGAATCACTGCAGCAATGAAGGGCCTTTTTTTGACGCGCCGTTGGAGATCAACGATTACTTAAAAAATATTTAATTTTTTGTTCAAAAATTTTACTATGTATTCTTAAATCATGCATCAATATATTTCTAAAATTGAAATGATTGATAAAGTAGTTTTTTTAATATAAATTCCCAAAAATCACCTTTTTTTTAGGCGGTTTAATGAAATTTCACAAATCTTGATTTAATGAAAAATGCCTGAATCAGAAGAATATTTTACCCTGTTCCTTGAAAATAATTAAACAAATTAAGCATTTGTGTCGTGTACTAAACGTAAGTTTATTGATTAGAAATTATTTCTATTTTTTTGTAGTTTCTATAAATCTTTGAAGTTATTGAAATGGAAAATATTTTTAGGCAAAACATATATTACAGCTGTTTAAAGAATAAGATTATATCGCCAGCACAAAAGTAAGTCAATGAATGTGTGTTAATTTTAATTACATGAAGTTCTTCAAACACATCCATTTTATTTTTACTTAAATGCCATCTTGTACAGTAGCAAATAAGTTTTACTTCAATCGCCTGTGAATCTTACGCGCACTCGTTTTTACTGTAATTTGTATAAAATTTTGGAATTAGGTTCATCTTACTCAAGTTCAAAAGTGAAAATAATTTTGACTTCTTTGCCACTTCCCCAAGGGATGACATCTCTTCTCAGTAGTGTAATTTTTTCCTCTTTTATTAAATGACGTCGGATGTCGATAAAAAAACTAATTATAAGAGAAAAATATTTCATGATGTTTTACAAAAAAGCCAATTCTTTTCAAGTTATTGCCTACTAAAAATTCGTTTCTTTTTGGTGTTTTTTTTTTCAAATATCTCCATAAATATACATTTATTCTAGGAACAATATTAAGCTAGATATGAAAATGGGGTTTTATAGTGCTCAAAATAAGCTTTAAAATGAGTTCTTCTGCGTGTAAAATGAAATGAGCGAGCTATCATGCAAATATAAGACGCATACAATGTTTTTTTTTTTCATTTAAATCAAAGAGTTTATGAGTGCCATTTCCACTAAAATTGAAAATAATCGTATCCCATCTAGAATTAACTTGGTTTAAAAGATTTTGATGGATTCTAGAAAATACCACAACTATAGAACGAACGATTTTCAAAAAACTCATCATTTTATGAAAAAAAAAATCCATTCAAAAAAACAACCAATTTCTCTTTATTATATCTCTGAAAGCATAAAAGATACGTATAAAGCTATATAGATAAAAATTCAAGGTCTTTTTCTGACTAATTATTGCTTTTCATTATTTTTCTGTTACACAAATGATAAGGATAGGATTGTTTAAAGAGTACGTGGCTATCCAACCAGAGTGTTTTTCGAGCCTTTTAACTCTTTGCCAAAGAAAGTTGTAGCTCTTTTTTTTTTATTATATTTTATTTGGCCTCTTATTTACAAACTAGCCATATACAGAGTTTCTTACATTTAAATTCTAATTTTACATTTAACCACAAAACTATATATAATTTTATAATATTCAATATATGACACTAAATTAACTAAATTAAATGTTTTGACTACACTTTTTATTCTATATAATTAATATAATAAATAATCCCTATTTTTTTAAATCTGCTACATGTTCAAATTATAAGTTGTAAGGATCCCACATCCTACTACTACACAAATTTGAAATTTATCTATATCTATATCTTCGATATCGATATTTACAATCTGGAAGTTTATGTTTTTTTTTTTAATCATAATAGCCGCTCCACCTTTTCCGTCGACTCTGTCGGCTCTGATTAAATTATATTTTTTTATAAAATATCGACTGTTCCATTTAAACCAGGTTTCAGATAATAATATAATATCAATTTTATGTTGCTATATAAAAATTTGCAAACTTTCTTTATTTGCATTAAAAGATCCAATAATCCATTGCCAAAATTCATTAAGAGATTTATTATTTCATTTTTAAAATTTATTCAACTATTTACATTTTTATTTTTTTTATTTTTATACTGATGTATTATTGCCAACTCCAACAACTGTATTTTTATGGGCAATGTTTTTACTAGATTCTTCAAAGTTTAACTTCTCGCAAAATAAATAAAGACCATTTTTAGCTTCTACCAAAAGTTCATCTATATCATCACCTTCTTTAACCTTGAATCTTTCCCTCAATTTCTTCAATAATTCATCATGACGAATTTGTATTTTTTTAATTTCTTCCAATTCTGAATTTTTACCGAATTTCTCGTCACTATGTATATTTTTCACTCCCAATGTTAGATTTAAATTCTTATTATGCATTTGATCATTAGATCTGACATTTACTGTTTGCCTTCTTTCAATTATTCGCCTAGGTTTATTCATTGCCGTTAACCTATTTGGTTCTATATTTATTTCTTGCTCTTGAAGATGGCTTAGCAATTCGTACTTATTTTTATGTCTAAAATTATTTTCAAATTTAGCCGTTTCATTAACTCTAGGAAATGTATTTTTAAATTCCGGATTATAATGATTTAATTTAGCTGATTATGCATATTTTTGATTGCGAAGGATAAATTTGGCCTCAGAATATGATATATTCTGAAAGGCCATTAATTCTTTAATTCTTTTATGATATTGAAACACTTCGCAAATTTTATCATTTGCTTCATGTTGTTTATGACACACCGCGCATTCAAAATCTTTTTCAATGAGGCATATATCCGTGCTATGTTCCCTAGCGCACTTGCGACATCTAGTTTTGCTTTTACATTGTACTCTGATATGACCATACCGCCAGCATTTGTGGCATTGAATAACATTTTGGATATATGGACTCACCTGCAATTTCACAGAATATATCGAAACTTTATCTGGCAAATAGTTTCCTTTAAACATAATTTTAACCATTTGCGATTTGTTAAAACTATGGCTTGTATTTCTATTTTTTATACACTTTACATCAATTATTTCAATTTCTGATTTAATGACTTGTTTAATTTCTTCCTCATCCATCTCGGAGTCAACATTAAATATTATACCTGTTCTACATAATTTATGTTTAGGAATATATAATTTTATTTTGTTTTTGTTCAAAAAATTTTCATTAATTATTTTATTTGCAAACTCAAAATTTTTGAATGTTATATTAATTTTGTTTTGCCAATTTGCCAATTTTTGTGAAATTTTCTATATTATTACTTAATGCTGGGGAATTTTTATAAATCATTCTTCCCAACGCAACGCTATGATAGTTACCTAGATTTTGATTTTCTGATTCTGCATAAACTTCATAAGGCCCTTCATCTAATGCACTATAGAAATTCATTACGCTAGTTAACGTATTGAAATTCTTATTAAAATTTTCTTTAACTGCAATATTATTATGATTTTCCTCGAATTCTTTTACAGCTGTCAATTCTTTTTGATCTATATCGACTTCTTCCTCAACAACCATATCATTACTATTCTCATGAGATTTATTTACACAAACTGCTCCACTAGTTTCTTCTTCAATTACCATATCAATCCAGTTTTTAACCGCTTCTTTAAAATTTTCACTTGCTTTGTCTTTATTAATATTTATCATTTCTTTTATTTGCTCTTCATTCAATTCCATTAAAATTTTTTTAATTACATCTTTATTTAACGTATTCCTTTCCGATTTCATTTTATTTACTTTTTCCATTTTTTTACTATCTTTTCTTATTTCTGACTTATTACTACTAACTACACCACTTTTTTTAATACTTTTACTATCACTATTTTTAACATTTAGATCCGATTTAACGCTATTTACTTTATTCAAATTAACTAATTTTACTATGAACAATACTTTCGGAAATATCATATTCCGTATAATCCGTATTATTAATTAATTGCACTGCATTACTTATTTTAATGCCATTTTCAACTTCTGTGCTCACTACACTATTGTTGCTGGATACCGGCAACCGCAAATCAGCAGGCCCGAGCCTGTGATTCATACCACGTTTATTATTTGTTATCTAATATTATTTGTATCAGTTTCACCTCGATCTTTACCTGTCGAACGCTCGACCTAAACTCGTTGTAGCTCAATTAATTACCTTTATAATATAATTTATATTAATAGTATATTACAAGTTCTGATAAAATCAGAATTCAAAGAGTTATAATCCAATTAATGCGGGGGTGGTGACAGAGTGCAAATTGTTTTCACTTCTGAATTTAAGATTAAGACTAGCTTATTTTCAAAATATCATGCAAATTGTAGCACAGTAAAAAAAATCACAGGGCACGCGCTTTTTTCCTCTCTATTTACTGCAATAATATATCTGATCGTAGGTTGAACAGAGCACATGTGAACAGGATTTGATAAATTAATTCACTTCAAGTATGAACTTAAGTGATAGGTATATTGAAATTACAGTGAGAAATATGTAATTTCGATTAAAATTACTACAAGCCAGTTAAAATATGGTACAAAATTATGAAAATTATAGGCAATTTTATTGAAGCAATTATTTTGAGTAGAAAAATCCAAGGTGATATTGTACCTTTACCGCGAATGCTATACATTGATTCTTTCTGAATTTGTTATACTTTTTAAAAGACTTCAAAGACTTTTAAAAAATTTCATCTTATGCTATGACCATAAACACATCACAAAGGCAGACGAAGATTTTTTGTGTGATAAATTTGGAAACTCAGTGTTTTAGTCGTGACCCGACAACGTCTGTCGGGTCATCTAATATATATGTATATATGTACGTTAAAATATTATATAATATTTTTAACAGCAATCTCGCCAACAGTTTGCGTTATGTACAAAATAAATGGAACTACTTTTGTTTAATAATATTTCTGGTCATATAACTAAAATGAAATCATACCCTGGGTCTCGATGTCCATCCCAGCATACATGTGTCCCCAATTGTGTGCGTCAATAACGCTGTCTAAGGATTCACTGGCGTTGGCACCTGTATTTTCGGCAATGCATCTGGGTATAATTTCTAGGGCTTTGGCGAATTGCCTAATGGCATATTGCTCCATGCCTAAATAGTGTAAATAAGATTTATTGGTTCATTTAGTTCTAATGACTAATATTTTTTATTTTTTATACACAAGTTATTTTCAATTATAAAAAAAACATGTACAACTACAAATACATAAACATTTATTGAGATTCTAATGAAGATATTCGCCTAAAATAATCAGTTTATAAGATTTATTATTAGAATTACCCTATTGCGGGTAGTTTTTTATTGGATGCAGCAATGTCAGAGAACAGCTATTTTCACTCTGCAAAGATATTGCAATCTATACTGACATCTTGACATCAAGCCATCCGAAGCGGATATCAATCATGGTTAAATATTAACAAAACAAAAAAAAACTGAGCGGTTTACCTAAGAATCAATTACATATATGTTTTTGCAGCTACTTCCGGAATTCATACTAATTTTCTGTTGAAGCTCATTAACTAATTTATTTAATAATTTCAATTTTTCATCTCACCGGGCAAGGTGTTGGCATGAGACAGGAGTTCCTTCCTCAACTCGATCTCGGTTGCCCCCGCTCCAGCAACGAATCGACCATCTTGAAGAGCAACATTGTAAACGGCTAGAGCGCTCTGAGGTAATATTAAATTCATTATTATTAGTAAAGTTTTGTTGTTCATTAAAAAGTTCGATTTTTTAATTTCATGTTTTCTCGACATTTAAAGCCATTCCGAATCCGTGTGTGTGAGTGCGAGTGTGACAGATTTTTTACCTTCTGTCAAAGTTTTATCAAAAACGGATGAACCGATTTCAAAATTATAAAAATCATTCGATGTAACTCGATGAGGACTTGCGTCTGTTTAACCGAGCGGTTTCTTCCTAAATAGCAAAAAAGTGAAAAAAAAAATCGGCTACTTTTTAGCCCGGAAATCCAAACCGAGTTTTATAATTTTATATCTGTTTGAAAGATATTGGTGGGAAATTGACCTGATTAGTTTTTGGTTCTTGTAATTAACTATTAAATTTTTTTCCGACGATTTTTATCATTTTTTTTGACGATTGATATCATGGTCTTCTAAATCATATTAAAAACTTACGGCCCTGCGACAAGTCGTTTAATTTTAAAAATTCATCAACAGTTAATAAAATAACTGCCAAAGTGTGTGTTAGAAGTAGCTTTTCTGATTTCACAAATTTAAAAGCCATTTCTTGCATTTAGCGGAAAAATGAGCATACAAAACTTCTCTAATTGTGTAAAAAAAAGTTACCATTAATTTGAATCATTAAATAATATTAAGAGATACGTAAATAAGATATGGTACGGTGCAATTAAAAAATATCTAAATACCTAAATCACAATTTCAATTAATTAAGTCAATTATTACACATTTCGGGAAGTTCATGCAACTTGCCTTAAGGCAAAATGCCACTTTCAACTAATGAATATGTGTCACATATTTACCTAATGTTCATTGGACAGATGTAAATTATATCTAAAATAAAATTAAAAAAAAAATATATGTGTCACATACGTATACAAAAGTATGTGTTAAATAGTATGTTTTGTTTTGTACATTCAAATTTCTGAATTCATTTCACGTCCCCAGACAGGCAAAAACCAGAGATACTAAAAAAAATCTGCAAAAACAAAATTCCATCAGAAGACTGAAAAGAAAGTCGCCGCAAGATCTAATAAAATGACAAGCAATCTATTTATATAAAGAAATTGCTCGATGGGGAATTTTCTAAACGTCATGTACCCAACAGCAAATAACCTCATTGCATCAAAGGTTTAATTTGGTTTTTGGATATTTTGATTTAAGCCAAGTGATAGGGGTTGCTCCAAACAGTTAAATTGGTGGACTGCGAAATTGTTATACGGATTAACAGGTTGACAGGTGTGTTGGTGGACAGGTATATTGGTAGACAGGTAAACTGGTGGACAAGTAAATTGGCGAACTGGTAAATCGGTTGACTGACAAACAGGTTGACAGATAAACTGGTAGATAGATAGTCATATAGACAGGTAAACTAGAAGACGAGAAAACTGGTGGACTAAATGTAACAAACATGCATTTTTGTTAAAATTTTAAATTGAAAGTAAAACTCCGGAAAGCGTGAAAGGGTACAGCTTGTAACAATATATATATATATATATATATATATATATATATATATATATATTGTTAATAGCATATAAGTAAAAGATGCTTGCAAAAACGAATTAAACTTGATAAACAAAACGAAGGATAAAAATGTATGTATCCAATAACATCATCAGTATAGTATGAAATAATGTATAAAATAATTCTGACCTGCATGGCGCGTTCGGCATTGTCCATTGCTGCGTCGGTGGCACCTCGTAGGAGGACGGTTGCCAAAGGGCAACCCACGATCGAATCACCTTTCCCTTCGTCCACGCGATTGATTTGCCTGTTACGGCGAAATATTATAACGCAGGTATCGCCAATTTCGTTGGCGATCACTTCATCAGAATGGCCCAACTCCTGCAAGGACATATTGCTTTTCAATCAAATTGAAAATGATTTAACAAAATTGGCGACATATATTATTAACGTATCATATGTATCTCCTCGTTGATTGCCAGATTTATTTCGATGAGTACGTGCTACACTTCTGAACGTCTCAGAAGCTTTGAAAAGGAACACAATTCGAATTATAATTTACTCTTAATGAAAATGAGATCTACTTCAGAGTGTTGTAGCATTATATATAAAAAATAAAAATAAGGTAGTAAAACATATTACATGCCCAATGGTAGCATGTATGGTAACAAATAGAAAGTATAAATTGTCTTTTACTTATTTTTTTTTTAATTAAAAAACTTCTTTTTAACACTTTTTATTTTATTTATTTAATTCAAAAACTTCTTTGTAATACTTTGTCATTATAATAATTAAAAATTTCATATTCTTTCATATTCCATATTTCTTATACAATAAATAAATACCAGTGATATTACTCTGCTAGCAAATATTAACGGTAATCAGATTTTCATAAATAATATTTGATAATTATTCTTGTTACATATCAATTATTAATTTTTTGAATTTATTAAATTTATTAATTATCATATTATTAGTATCATATTTCATTTCAATTTAGCATATAAACACCTTTAATATGGGATTTAAATACAAATAAAGTAACTTGTATAGCATTAGTATGCAATTACTGTTTAATAATAGACATAGCCGTCACAAGTTATAATCTTATATATAAAAATGGAACTCTCGATCGGTAAAATTCGAAAACGGCTAAACCGATTTGGCCAGTCTTAGTCTTGAAAAATTCGTGCCAATCCAGAGATGGTCGGAAAGGTGAGATAATATTTCAAAATCGCGTAGAAACTTTACATTTTTAATTTGAAAATTTTTGTAGAAGCATAATTTGAATAAAACAATGGACGGTGGCTAATACGTCAAAGGTCAAACGGTTTTGACAGATGATGTTCAATTACGTTTAATAAGATGTTTTACGTGAATATTATTTAATTATGATTAAATTGTAGTAAGTAGTTTTGTTCGTAGTTATATTTATATACAAAAACATTAGTAAACGGGCCGCAAGTGTTACTACAATCTAAGAATTTCAACTTTTTTGAAATGTTAATATGAAAATGCACTTTTTGGCATATTTTTCTCAAGCACCGTGATCTGAGAGATCTCATTCGTATAATTATATACTCATTGGTATTTATAAAACATTTTCTAGGTTATATTATTTTTGATTTATGTCATTTCAATTCAGAACCTAAATTTGGTACCGATCACAGGGACATTTTGTCGAATAACATTTACCTAGTTATAATTTCCCAAAATTTATCGAAGAATAGATAGTAATGTATAAAGGTCCGGGGTTAAAAAGGTCCACCACCGATGTGTCAACAAGTAAAGTTAAGCATGGTTTAAAGTAGAGGCAAAAAGATGTATAACCAGCTATAACTTGATTCTCATGACCCTGCTATCGGGAGATAAACGTTAATCTTTGAAAATTCATAATAAAAGTATTTTCTTCCGTTGGTAGATTTTTAGCATTAATTAAAATATAATTATTTTGAAAAATGCCTTTAAAATTAAAATAAGACATTAAACCTGTTTGCCACCGGGCCGTTCCAAGTTACCCCGCCTATAGGGTAAAAAGTTCTAGATTACAAAATCAAAAGACTTGGATTGGATTATACCATGTTTTCTATAGAAAGTGTATAAAACTTCCAGTTTGACTGTATTGACAAAATACAATAGACAAAGTAATGAGGTTTATAATACCTCATTGTATATTCTGGTTGTTTTTATAATACCTCATTGTATATAGCATTCAAACAACATATCCTTATACACGTATATTCTAGGTATATTCTAAACAATTTCTAGAGAATCAAAAATATCAATACTTTAAATTTTTGATTCTCTAGAAATTGTTTAGAATATACCTTACTTACAATTAGTAAAACAACGTTTGTCGGGTCAGCTAGTAATTGATAATTATCAAATCAAAAGGACATAAATTAGCTATAAGACTGGATGTACACGCCCTTTTGAGTAACTAATGCATAGTACTGATGATTATGATGAAACTTGAACTTAATGAATTAAGAATAAAAATTTTTGGAACCTCTTTTAACGGCGGTTTAAGATTACACAGGACTCTTGCACCGACTGCCTCAGAGACTCGCAACAAATCAAATTTGCTAATTAGACGGACCACCATCAAATGGTGTTTATTGAGGAAGTGAAGGGCCATGTCTCCCACTTTTCCGCTGCACACCACCACCTTAACTCCGGCCTCAGCAAGGGCTCTGATCTGGAAAAAAGGTAAAATAACAAATATATTTAACATGTTTAAAATGTATACAAACAAACTCAGTACGTAGTAGTAACTGGGCATTTACTACTATTTCATATTTACAATCAATCTCAGTTACATGTTGTGACATAAATCCAAAATTAACTAGGTGTTTGTGGAATTTTGCCTTAAGGCATATTGAATGAGCCTCCCTATATGGGTAAATAATCTATTTTAACAACTTTCAAAATCATTACAAAATTTTCAACTGTCCCAAATTAACACAAACCAATACATAATCGAAAAATTACTGAGGGGCATATAATTAACAAACACAACACTGATCTTATTTTCACATTATTATTTTACCTGTTCTTCCAAAATACGATCCTCGTCATGGCTGTAGTTTCTTAACTCTGCTGCCGTATGAAATAAGACAGTGCCTAAACATTTAAATAATATATTCTCACATCGACCATATAATAAACATTTTTAATATATACACATTAACATTTCAGATAATATAATGATTTATCTGTTACTATTATTATGATTCTTATAAATGAATGCAATTTTATCTGTGCATGTATATATTATATAATTACACTTATTATTGTATATTATATTAAATCTACACTTTCATTATTATGAGACGATATTTCCTAACTGCGTAGCTTTTTAGAAAATTTTTCGAAATGTATTTTTATTTTTAGAATTTCTCTAATAGTGATGCTTCTTTAAACTCTAACTTGGAAATGTATTATCATCTATCTTTCATGTGCAAACCGCATATCTAAGCCACTGAGAAAGCCACAGTCTACTTTATTATTCTTACGTAAAATAAAAA